AAAAAAAATCAAAAATTAAGGTTGGTATTAATATTTAAAAATTAAATTGCTATCTTCATTGTTGCCAACTTCGGGTTTAACGTTTTTTATTCTAACTTTTTTGTTTTTTGAGATAAGCGCGTCATGTTTGGACTCATTTTAAAGGTTTTTTAATGAAGATGACAAATATGTCAAAATTGACGTTGACGTTTTAAACCGGAAGTGATTGTATCTATTAATATTAAAGTTAAATACGTCGAGTTTGGACTCATTTTAAAGGATTTTTTATGACGTTGATAAATATGTCAAAATTAAAAATTGAAAGTTCGCACTTTTTGGTTTTTGAGATAAATGCATCATGGTTGGACTCATTTTAAAGGTTTTTTAATAAAAAATACACCATGTAGTTGTTCATTTGTCTATGATATATTATGATAACTAACTTCAGGTTTAAGATGTCAACCTCAATTTTGACATATTTGTAATCTTTATTAAAAATTCTTTAAAATGAGTACAAACACGACATATTTATTTTTAATATTAATGAAGTTATGGTCAACTTCCGGTTAAGAATGTCAACCTCAACATTGACATATTTGTAATCGTCGTGAAAAATCCTTTAAAATGAGTCCAAACATGATATGTTTAATTCCAATATTACTCGAGATATAAGCTACTTCCGCTTTGAAATGTCAATGTCATTTTGACAATTTCTTAATTTTTATAAAATGTGTTAATATTTGTCACAAAAACAAAAATATAATAAAAAAAATTAAAAATTAAGGTTGGTATTAATATTTAAAAATTAAATTGCTATCTTCATTGTTGCCAACTTCGGGTTTAATTGTTTTTTATTCTAACTTTTTTGTTTTTTGAGATAAGTGCGTCATGTTTGGACTCATTTTAAAGGTTTTTTAATGAAGATGACAAATATGTCAAAATTGACGTTGACGTTTCAAACCGGAAGTGATTGTATCTCCATTAATATTAATGTTAAATACGCCGAGTTTGGACTCATTTTAAAGGATTTTTTATGAAGTTGATAAATATGTCAAAATTAAAAATTGAAAGGTTTTTTTAATAAAGAATACATCAGGAAAGAACACCATGACGTTGTCCATTTGTTTATTATATGTTAACTAACTTCAAGTTTAAAATGTCAACCTCAATTTTGACATATTTGTAATCTTTATTAAAAATCCTTTAAAATGAGTACAAACTCGACATATTTATCTTTAATATTAATGAAATTATGATCAACTTCCGGTTCAGAATATCTACGTCAATTTTGACATATTTGTAACCGTCGTGAAAATTCCTTTAAAACGAGTCCAAACATGATAGGTTTACTTCCAATATTACTCGAGGTATAATCAACTTCCGGTTTGAAATGTCATTGTCATTTTGACATATTCTTAATTTTTATACAATGTCTTAATATTTGTCACAAAAACAAAAATATAATAAAAAACTCAAAAATTAAGGTTGGTATTAATATTTAAAGATTAATTTGCTGTCTATATTAAAAATTAAATTAGTTGCCAACTTCAGGTTTAATGTTTTTTATTCAAACTTTTTTGTTTTTTGAGATAAATGCATCATGTTTGGACTCATTTTAAAGGTTTTTTAATAAAGATGACAAATATGTCAAAATTGACGTTGACGTTTCAAACCGGAAGTGATCGTATCTCCATTAATATTAAAGTTAAATACATCGAGTTTGGACTCATTTTATAGGATTTTTTATGAAGATTACGAATATAATGATACAATTAAAGTTTCTAATTTTAGATCAATAAATATGTCGAAAACGCCGGAAGTAGACCTCAAAATTGTTGTTTTAAATGGAATGTTGTGGTTTTTTAGATGTATTCAAATTTTTTATGTTAAAATAGGTTGACTTTGATAGGGATTGTTGATACCTAGCGCTAGCATATCAAAAACAAGGTTGCATCTTTTTGTCTAATCAATGAACTTATAACATATTTATTCAAAAAAGCACTTTAATACAAAGTGTACTAGAAATATTAATATTCTACTATTTTTATTGATAATAAATGTAACATTTCAACATTATTATTATTGTTTTAGCGTGGACGCATGAAACACGGACAATCGATTTTAATTCATTCAGGAACCGGAGGAATTGGCCAAGCCGCAATAAACATAGCAACCCATATGGGTTGTACAATTTTCGTAACAGTGGGTACAAAAGAAAAGCGCAATTTCATCATACAAAATTTCCCCCAAATCGACAAAAACCACATCGGAGATTCGCGCTCAACATCATTCGAACAAATGATTTTCAAAGAAACCAACGGAAAAGGTGTCGATTTCGTTCTAAATTCTTTGGCGGAAGAGAAGCTTTTAGCTTCGGTGAGATGTTTGAGTAAAAACGGGACGTTTTTGGAAATAGGAAAGTTCGATTTGGCCAACAACAACGATTTGGCGTCGAGTTTATTAAAAAAACAGGCGAGATTTGAGGGGGTTATGTTGGATCGATTATTCGCGGGATCGGACGATGTTAAAGAGAAATTGGGGCGATTACTTATATCTGGGATTAAAAACGGATCGGTTAAGCCGTTGGTGAGGACCGTTTTTCCGAGTGAAAAAGTTGAGGAGGCTTTTCGATTTATGGGGGCTGGAAAACATATTGGAAAAGTTTTATTGAAAATTCGACAAAATGGGAAGCCCCAAAACGGAATCCCCAGGTACTAATTAATCGAAATTTGTGATTTTTTTTTTAATTTTTAAATTTTTTTAGGTTATGTTGCGATCCGAACTCTACTTATATAATTTTGGGGGGTCTCGGTGGTTTCGGGCTAGAATTAGCCGATTGGTTGGTGACGCGAGGTGCAAAAACTCTAATTTTGACTTCAAGATCACCAAAACGAACGGGGTATCAAAATTATCGCTTAAACATTTTTAAATCCTACAATGTTAACGTCATAATTCGAAACGACGACATAACCTCAATGGAAGGATGCGAAAATCTGTTAAAATTCGCCGAATCCTTACACCCCGTTCAAGGAATTTTTAATTTAGCGGTTGTTCTAGAAGACGCCCTCTTTGAAAATCAAACGATTGAAAGTTTTAAAACGTCGTTGGGGCCGAAAGCTTACGCGACGAGATTTTTGGACGAAATTTCGAGGAAAATTTGTGCCGAATTAAAGTATTTCGTTGTGTTTTCTTCGGTTTCTTGTGGAAGAGGAAACGCGGGGCAGACTAATTATGGATTTTCTAATTCTGTGATGGAGAGAATTTGCGAGAAACGAAAAATGGAAGGATTTCCGGGTTTGGCGATTCAATGGGGGGCGATCGGGGATGTTGGATTAGTCGCAGATATGCAAGATAATCATAAAGAGTTGGTTATTGGAGGGACTTTGCAACAAAAAATTTCGAATTGTCTTCAAATTCTCGATCGGTTATTGAAACAAGATGAAGCGATCGTTTCGAGCATGGTGGTGGCTGAAAAAAGAACCGCCTCTGATGGGATGAATATCTTGGACGTCGTCCTTGGGATTATTGGAGTTACAAATAAAAAAAGCGTCAGTTTTCATTCAACTTTGCCCGAATTGGGGATGGATTCGATGATGGCTGTTGAAATTAAACAAACGTTGGAGAGGGAATTTGAAATTTTATTAACCCCACAAGACTTGAGGAATATCACCTTAGCAAAGTAAGTCGATTTAATTAAATTTTATCGAAAAGAACATTAAAAATCCTTTAAAACGATACCAAACACGATATGGTTATGTCAAAAAACAAAAAAGTTATCACAATTTTGTTTTTGACAGAAACAAAAAAACAATTGACGATCGTTTTTTATAAACGCCCATAACTCCCGTATTTATTAAGATAATGAGGTGGTGTTTGGACTTAAATTAATCAAAATTTTCATCGAAGAACTGTCAAAAATGAAATGTCAAAAAATAACATTGAATTTGAAACTTTAATTTTAACCTTATGACCATTGAAAAGAAAATGAAAAATCCTTTAAAATGATACCAAACTCGACGAGGTTATTTTTAAAAACAAAAAAGTTATGACAGTTTTATTAATGACAAACAAAAAAACAATTGACGATCGTTTCCTTTAAATCCCTTTATCTTCTTTGTTTATTAAGATAATAAGATGGTGTTTGGACTTAAATGAAGCGAAATTTTATGTAGATTTTGTTTTTTCAATAAAAATTTATTTTGTTCTAATATCAGAGAACTGTCAAAAATGAAATGTCAAAAAATAAGATTGAATTTGAAACTTTAATTTTAACTTTATGATCATTGAAAAGAAAATGAAAAATCCTTTAAAATGATACCAAACTCGACGAGTTTATTTTTAAAAACAAAAAAGTTATGACAGTTTTATTAATGATAAACCAAAAAAACAATTGACGATCGTTTCCTTTAAATTCCTTTATCTTCTTTGTTTATTAAGATAATGAGGTGGTGTTTGGACTTAAATTAATCAAAATTTTGTGTAGATTTCGTTTTTTTAAATAATAAATTTACTTTTTTAACATCATCGAAGAACTGTCAAAAATGAAATGTCAAAAAATAAGATTGAATTTGAAACTTTAATTTTAATCTTATGATCATTGAAAAGAAAATGAAAAATCCTTTAAAATGATACCAAACTCGATGAGGTTATGTTTAAAAACAAAAAAGTTATGACAGTTTTATTAATGACAAACAAAAAAACAATTGACGATCGTTTCCTTTAAATCCCTTTATCTTCTTTGTTTATTAAGATAATGAGATGGTGTTTGGACTTAAATTAAGCGAAATTTGATGTAGATTTTGTTTTTTTAAGAATAAATTTATTTTTTTTAATATTATCAGAGAACTGTCAAAAATGAAATGTCAAAAAATTCGATTTTATTTCAAATGGAATAAATCACGGCGAATCTTTGCTGGATTATAATAAAGTGCGCTTTTTAGAATTAAATTGGTTTCTTAATAAAAATAAAAATCAAAATGAGACTTTAAAGATTATACTTTAATTTTAATTTTATGATCTTTCGAAAGAAAATGGAAAATCCTTTAAAATGATACCAAACTCGATAAGGTTATCTTCAAAAACAAAGAAGTTATGCCACTTTTTCTTATGACAGAAACAAAAAACAATTGACGATCGTTTTCTTTAAACCCTCGTAACTTTTTTATTTATTAAGATAATGAGATGATGTTTGGACTTAAATGAAGCGAAATTTTATGTATATTTTGTTTTTTCAATAATAAATTTATTTTTTTTTAATATTATCAGAGAACTGTCAAAAATGAAATGTCAAAAAATTTGATTTTATTTCAAATCGAATAAATCACGGCGAATCTTTACTGGATTATAATGAAGTTCGCTTTTTAGAATTAATTGGGTTTCTTAATAAGAATAAAAACCAAAATGAGACTTTAAAGAGTATAGTTTAATTTTAATTTTATGAATATTCGAAAGAAAATGGAAAATCCTTTAAAATGATACCAAACTCGATGAGGTTATCTTCAAAAACAAAGAAGTTATGACACTTTTTCTTTTGACAGAATCAAAAAACAATTGACGATCGTTTTCTTTAAATCTCCATAACTCCCTTATTTATTAAGATAATGAGATGGTGTTTGGACTTAAATGAAGCGAAATTTTATGTAGATTTCGATTTTTTAATAATAATTTTTTTTTTCTAATATTGAAGAACTGTCAAAAATGAAATGTCAACAAATTTGATTCAATTTAAAGTAGATTTATTTAAGTAGATTTCTCATCAAAATCAATTTTTAAAATAAAAAAGGATTCTAATTTCGAATAAAAATCAAATTGCGATTTCAAAGTTGAAAATGCAACTTTAATTTTATGATCATTCGAAAAAAAATGGAAAATCCTTTAAAATGATACCAAACTCGATGAGGTTATCTTCAAAAACAAAGAAGTTATGATAGTTTTATTAATGACAAACAAAAAAACAATTGACGATCGTTTCTTTTAAATCCCTTTATCTTCTTTGTTTATTAAGATAATAAAATGGTGTTTGGACTTAAATGAAGCGAAATTTTATATAGATTTTGTTTTTTCAAGAATAAATTTTTTTTTTAAATATTAGAGAACTGTCAAAAAATAAAATGTCAAAAAATTAGATTTTATTTCAAATCGAATAAATCACGGCGAATCTTTACTGGATTATAATGAAGTTCGCTTTTGACAATTAAATCGATTTCTTAATAAGAATAAAAACTAAAATGAGACTTTAAAGATTATACTTTAATTTTAATTTTATGATCATTCGAAAGAAAATGGAAAATCGTTTAATATGATATCAAACTCGATGAGATTATCTTCAAAAACAAAGAAGTTATGACACTTTTTCGTTTGACAGAAACAAAAAACAATTGACGATCGTTTTCTTTAAACCCCCGTAACTCTTTTATTTATTAAGATAATGAGGTGGTGTTTGGACTTAAATGAAGCGAAATTTTATGTAGATTTCGTTTTTGTAATAATAATTTTTTTTTTTTAATATTGTCGAAGAACTGTCAAAAATGAAACGTCAACAAATTTGACTTAATTTTAAATAGATTTATTTAAGTAGATTTCTAACCAAGATCAATTTTTAAAATAAAAAGGGATTCTAATTTCGAATAAAAATCAAATTGCGATTTTAAAGTTGAAAATGCAACTTTAATTTTATGATCATTCGAAAGAAAATGGAAAATCCTTTAAAATGATACCAAACTCGATGAGGTTATCTTCAAAAACAAAGAAGTTATGACACTTTTTCTTTTGACAGAATCAAAAAACAATTGACGATCGTTTTCTTTAAACCCCCATAACTCCTTTATTTATTAACATAATGATGGTGGTAAAGTTGAAAATGGAACTTTAATTTTAAGACCATTCGAAAGAAAATGAAAAATCCTTTAAAATGACACCAAACTCGATGAGGTTATGTTCAAAAACAAAGAAGTTATGACACTTTTTCTTTTGACAGAAACAAAAAACAATTGACGATCGTTTTCTTTAAACCCTCGTAACTCTTTTATTTATTAAGATAATGAGATAGTGTTTGGACTTAAATGAAGCGAAATTTTATGTAGATTTTGTTTTTTCAAGAATAAATTTTTTTTTATATTATCAGGGAATTGTCAAAAATGAAATGTCAAAAAATGCGATTTTATTTCAAATCGAATAAATTACGGCGAATGTTTACTGGATTATAATGAAGTTCGCTTTTTAGAATTAATTGGGTTTCTTAATAAGAATAAAAACCAAAATGAGACTTTAAAGAGTATAGTTTAATTTTAATTTTATGAATATTCGAAAGAAAATGGAAAATCCTTTAAAATGATACCAAACTCGATGAGGTTATCTTCAAAAACAAAGAAGTTATGACACTTTTTCTTTTGACAGAATCAAAAAACAAATGACGATCGTTTTCTTTAAACCCTCATAACTTCTTTATTTATTAAGATAATGAGATGGTGTTTGGACTTAAATAAAGCGAAATTTGATGTAGGTTTTGTTTTTTCAAGAATAAATTTTTTTTTTAAATATTAGAGAACTGTCAAAAATGAAATGTCAAAAAATTCGATTTTATTTTAAATCGAATAAATCACGGCGAATCTTTACTGGATTATAATGAAGTTTACTTTTTAGAATTAATTGGATTTCTTAATAAGAATAAAAACCAAAATGAGACTTTAAAGATTATACTTTAATTTTAATTTTATGACCATTCGAAAGAAAATGGAAAATCCTTTAAAATGATACCAAACTCGATGAGGTTATCTTCAAAAACAAAAAAGTTATGACACTTTTTCTTATGACAGAAAAAAAAACAATTGACGATCGTTTTCTTTAAACCCCCATAACTTCTTTATTTATTAAGATAATGAGATGGTGTTTGGACTTAAATTAAGCGAAATTTTATATAAATTTCGTTTTTTTAATAATAAATTTATTTTTATTAATATCAGAGAACTGTCAAAAATGAAATGTCAAAAAATGCGATTTTATTTCAAATCAAATAAATCACGGCGAATCTTTGCTGGATTATAATGAAGTTCGCTTTTTAGAATTAAATTGCTTTCTTAATAAGAATAAAAACCAAAATGAGACTTTAAAGATTATACTTTAATTTTAATTTTATGACCATTCGAAAGAAAATGGAATATCCTTTAAAATGATACCAAACTCTATGAGGTTATCTTTAAAAACAAAGAAGTTATGACACTTTTTCTTTTGACAGAATCAAAAAACAATTGACGATCGTTTTTTTTTAAACCCCCGTAACTTTTTCATTTATTAAGATAATGAGATGGTGTTTGGACTTAAATGAAGCGAAATTTTATGTAGATTTCGTTTTTGTAATAATAATTTTTTTTTTTTAATATTGTCGAAGAACTGTCAAAAATGAAACGTCAACAAATTTGACTTAATTTTAAATAGATTTATTTAAGTAGATTTCTAACCAAGATCAATTTTTAAAATAAAAAGGGATTCTAATTTCGAATAAAAATCAAATTGCGATTTTAAAGTTGAAAATGCAACTTTAATTTTATGATCATTCGAAAGAAAATGGAAAATCCTTTAAAATGATACCAAACTCGATGAGGTTATCTTCAAAAACAAAGAAGTTATGACACTTTTTCTTTTGACAGAATCAAAAAACAATTGACGATCGTTTTCTTTAAA